TCTCTTATTCAGTGAACACCTACTAAGATTCATAGATTAAAGCTTAAACAAAAGCAAGTTTTAGGATTTTTTTTTCACTTACTAACTAAACAGAACACAATACAAGAATATAAAAATTCATTTTGGTCCCCAGAACCATGGTACAGCACTGAAATCTTATACTTAAAACTGCACCATCATTGTCACCAGTGAAGGACACAGAAACCTAAGCTTCACACTTCATTAGAAGACTTCAGTGATGGTAAAAAAACAAAACAAAAATGTGCATTCCATTTACATACAGGTAATAGAGCCATCACCACATCTGGAGATGTTTTCAAGGTCCCATCTGCAGCAGCATATACTATTGTGAAGACATATGTACCGATCCATAGTACATCCAGAACTGAAAGACAAATTCCTTAAAATTATAGCAATCAGATACAGCAAAAACATCTATGTTCAGAATGTTACATGCTGTCAAGTTGGTTCCGACTCATAGCAACACTGTTAAGGGTTTCCAAGGAGCAGTTGGTGGGTTTGAAGCATCAACCTTGAGGTTAACAGTCCAGTGCTTATCTAAAGCAACACTACAGGACTCCATGTTCAGAATAAGCACTGAATATTATAAAATCCTATGGATTAAAAATCGAAACACTATAGTTTTAATAAAGGTCTAGATTTCATTCCCTAAATTTAATCCACAGATTATATTTATATCATAATCTTGAGCCACAAAGACTAAAGAAGCCCAAATTCATTCCAAAGTAGCAATATAATCAAGGCAATTACAAAGAATCCTAAAAATAGGAATTTATTTCATGTAATTTATCATGAAATGCTGACATCTACCAGGGAATTCCCATTAAGCTCATTTAACTACCTTATTAAAACAATGAAATGATCATAAAGGAAGCATCCACACTAACTCGAGCAGGTTATAGTGGCCCGCCACATGATGTGAAATTGCTATTAATACACACCTAGCTAGATTATATAGAAAATGCCTCACTAGAGGTCAGTCCAATAGGTAAAAGAGATGTGTTACCTCTAACTGGATGATCACTCGACTTATAAAATGGAGGACAAGGAATGACTTTTTTTTCTTGCAAAGTCTGAAAGAGATTTGGGGGTTTGGAAAAGAATGTTAAATGAAACAATTCCTAAAACAATGAAAATGGCAAATATTATGTTCTCCTAAATTTCATCTCCCTAATCAGGAAAGACTAAACAAAGCAAAAGAACAAATGTCTACTATAATCTTTTCTACAGAAATACTCACATGAGTATGTTCACATGTAGAGAACAATGACATCTGATGCAACTCTACTGATAGAGACAACCATCAATAGATGAATGATGGTACACCCACCCAATGGACAACTACACAGCCATTAAAAAGAATGAAGTGGCTCTATATATTCCAAGTTGAAAAACAAACCCCAATGTAGTGTTGTAAGAAAAAAGACAAACAACAGACTAATACAATCAAACCAATTACATTATCTTTTTACAGGAAAATGTCTTAAAAGACTACGAAGAGGTTTCAAGAGCGGAGAGTGGGACCCTACCCAGAGAAGCAGTGACACCAGAGATGAAGGCAGGGACGATAATGTAGAGATGGAACAGCTGGGGACTTTAGACCCAGAGAGGGAGAGGGGCTGTGTGCTGACGACCGGG